GGGGTAAAGAAACTAGACTGGCAGGACAGAAACAACCAGCCTGATGTTCTTGTGTCTGCATGCACACTGACCATATCCGTGTTCACAGCAACACAATGTATTCTGTCATTGCATTAAATTGCATTGTCCTGTACTGTTTGCATGATGTATTGTACATCATATTGCATTGTGTGTGTAATAATAATGAAAGCAATTCACCATGACAAAGTCTTCTTAAACTAATAGTTCACCCAAATTATTACAAACATGCAGCTTTTCACTTCACAAGACGTTAACTGATGTACTGGAGTGGTGTGGATTATTGTGATGTTTTTATCAACTGTTTGGACTCTCATTCTGACGGCACCCATTCACTGAAGAGGATCCATTGGCGAGCCAGTGATGTAATGCTAAATGTTTTCAAATCTGTTCCGATAAAGAAACAAACTCATCTACATCTGGGATGGCCTGAGGGCGAGTACATTTTCAGGAAGTTTGTCATTTTTGAGTGAACTATTCACACCAAATACACAAAATAATGATCTTTAAAAAAGCATCATATGACCCCTTTAAGAGCAAACTTACAGTAAACTCCAAACTTCAGCTCCAGCTCCTCCCTCCCTGCCTTTCATAGAAGAATACTCATTGCCCATTCAAACTCTTGATACAACAGAATATCCAATAAACTGGAATGTAATTAGTATGGACTGCAAATAAACATTATAGATGTGGAATGTAGTGAGTAAAATCTGAAATGCAGTTAGAAATGGAATTTATTTAGAATGTAATTACAAGAAAGTCAAATGAAAACTCTAATTAGAAAACAGAATGGATATATCTACAAAAAATAGAATGTATTTTGGTAGTAGAATGGAATATTATAAGAAATAGGTAGCGTGTAAAACTGGAATCCTAGAAATTGGTTTAATTACCAGTAAACATAATAATTAATTTAGTGAAGTTTGTGGAATGTATGAAACTGCTAGAATGAAATAGAATAAGACAATAGAATGGAATGAATAATGTAATATTGATAATCTTCAATGAGGTTAAATTCATTAACGGTATTTAATGCATTGGGAATCACGAACAATACTTTTACAGCATTTAATATAATGTAATTAATTAATTAATATTAATACATTGTTCAAATTGTATAAATTAAAATCAGTTCATTTCAGCTGTAGGAAGTTGAAAAATTATTGTTGTAACATTAACAACCTAGAACTAGTTGTCCAAAATTTGTTAAAACATTTAAAAAAGATTCAATATTTTATTTGTTTACCTGCGTGTCATGTGACCATTAACCGACATCAGAAAAACGTAAACATGCAAAAACTTTAGGTCAAGATTTTAGGACAAATAGTTTCGGCTGACAGAAAGTTTGGGAATCCCTGAACTAGTTCAATAAATGCTGTCAAAATGTTGTTTTGTTGATACATAGTCTACTAACTTAGGTTAATAAATTGACCCTTATTGTAAAGCATCACCATAATTTGACTTGTTAACATTAGCATAACGAATGTATCAGCAAGCAGTAATGAAGTGACAGTGCATCAGATGTCACTCACCAGGGCTGCTCCACTCGTTCATGGCCATGAACTCCAGATAAGCCGCCAGTAACGCGACCATCAGCACCGCCCCAAACACAATATATCTGCCGTTGCGCTTGAATTTCCGCACCGGGAAGAAGTTGGGCATCATCTTTAAGTGCTTCAGGCTCCGTGTGGATCGCAGAAGTTGCAAACCGCTGTAAGAATCATCGACACACGCTTTCCCGGGTTCAAAGCCGGTGGAAAAACTCGATCTCGCGTCCCACTGGTTCACATTTCCTTCGCTGTGATTCAGCGTCCGCTAGAGTCCCTCAAACATCAGCGCGCACAGGTTGAGCAGGCCACGCCCCCTGCGTGACGTCGCTGCTCCTGAACAGGTACAACAGAGGTAAATAGGCCTGCTACTAGATATCGAGATATATATCCAAGCTATTTCATCTTCAGTCCGCTCCAAAGCTCTTAAGACGGTTTGCTGCCTTTTTCATTTGTTTAGCTAAAGAATGCTATGTATTTTGTCGAAATAGGCTATTTTTTATTTTGTGTCATTTAGGCTATTTATTATCAAATTCAAAGCTCTTAGTTAAGACAGTAAACTTTTGCTGCCCTTTTCTTTGTTTAGTTAAAGAATACGATGTACTTTGTCGAGATGTAATATTTTATTATTTTGTCATTTACTTATTATAATTGTTTTTTTTTAATTTTCTTATATATATATTTGGAAATAAAAAACAACATTTAAAATAAAATAAGAACATTTAAAAACAGCTATCCTTAAATTTAATAACATTACATGTTATTAACTCAGATATTCTCTTGTAAATTAAAAAGTAATGCGTTACTTTACTAGTTACTTGAAAAAAGTTATCTGATTACGTAACTCGCGTTACTTGTAATGCGTTACCCCCAACACTGATTAGCACAATATAAAAAGTTTTTAAATATTTAAATCGATATTTAATACATATTTTACAGAGAGAAAGCACAATATAAAAATCTAAATCAGGAAAGGACTTGTATTTATTTAATAAATAAATCAACATATCAATATTTTAGATACATCTTATTTTATCTATTTATTATCAATATTTAATATTTGCTTCTCTTTTTTTAAATGCTAATTCACAAGAAACTGGGATTGCCTCCTAAAAGTCCTTACAGGACAAAGTAATATGTTTGGATGTGTTGTGCAGCACTGCTGATCTGGATAAACCTGTATGACCTGCTACTGTTGCTGCAGGTTGTTTTGCATGCAGGTTTATTGTCTTCGGTGTCAGTGGCATTTCCAGTAGATGTGGGATGAGCTACACATTTGAATATGAGACATGAAAGAAAAAACAGAGATGTGCTTGGCAGATATATCACTGACAAACAAACATATCTGCCTGGGGACTTTACCGTCCCCAGTGATCATTGTGTTACCAAGTGACACACTGCAGGCAGACATGGGAAAAACTCAAGCTTTCAAAGCCAGTGACATAAAATCACCCTTGGTTAGAGAAGCTGTACATTTTCATTAATATAAAAATATAGGAGTTTGATTTAGGTTAATAGTACAACATTTTATTTAACCTTAAAATGCATGCTATATTTTTCATATAAAGTATATTTAAAACTGATACTCCTCAGTTAAGATATTTGTAATTGTAATCTAACCCTTCTCATATTTACTGGGCTATTTTTATGTAGTAAAAGGGAGTTTTTTTATACCCCTAGTTTACATATGTGAGTCAAAAAATTTTTCATTTTGCATGTTATCTGTATTTGTTTTAACATACAATGTTTACTATCATGACGTTGAGTAATAAAGTAAAAAGCTGTCATTTAGCAGATGCTTTTATCAATAGAGACGGACTCATTATAGTGAAAATCCCCTTGGAGCAACCTGAGGTTAGATGTCCTCTCCACACACACACACACACACACGCACACACACACACACACACACACACACACTCTTTGTTTTCCTTTTGATTGTGGTTTCCAGATTATGATAATCCTAAACCCAACCCTCACAGAAACCTTAGTGCATTTGAGATTTGAGAGTTTAGTATGTGATTTAAGCCATTTCCTTATGGGGACTGCTGGCTGATTGTTACAGTTGTAGGTGTTTTCAGGTTTTACTGGCTATTTGGTTTGATTTGGTCAATGTTGGCAAAACATGACTCAAACGAACTCGCTCAAAATTATCATTCAAATGTTTTAATCAACAAAACTAGTCTAACATGGATTAAATTTGTATCCTATACACAACTGCATCCTTGTATTCCTCCTAGAAAGGATAATTGCGGAGTCAAGAATAATCTAGAAACTAGATGTCATTCAGGTGGAGGTGTTGCACAGCACCAGCAGATGGCGCTGTGAACACGAATTTACAGGTTCCATGAAAATGCACTTTACTAAAAAAGCTTGTTGTGTAGCAATGCATTATTTCCGTTTTTCACTTTTTTTTAAATTTTTATTACTGCTTACAGTGGATATACATTATATTTATTCTTCTCACTATAGATGCACTCTAACACACCCTGCAGATGTTGTTATATATCACACATGCTTGGCATGTTTACACTTTTATAGAACCGTCAAGGCAAAGCCCCTGTTAAGTACAACTTGGCTAATACATTTTCTGATTTAGCAGTTGTGCAGTTATTTCTGCATTAGTCTTTTCCTTCTCAAATGCCAGCTGTTTGCATGATTATGGTAAGTTGGTGAATGTTTCATAGACAAACTTATCGAAACAAGTTGGCCTAATGCAGTGGTGCTCAACCTTTGAGTCCAAGGCTCCCCCCTACTGTCAAACACAGTATTTGAAGGGATATTACTGAAATTGTAATGACAAAGCTGCTCAGTTTCAAACTTCATGTACAGAAACTACGAGTGATAATATATTACAATAAACAATAATTAAATTACAGAAATTTCAGTAATGCTCTTCAGGGTTTACACTATTTTTCCCAGTCATTTGTGATTACAGGAATGTTTTTGAAATGATTTTTTACTCACTATTAGCAATTTTCAATCAATTTTTTTAACTTAAAATTGATTTAAATTATAAAAAGGTATATTTATTATAATAAAGTCCATCTTATTTTTCCAGGTGCCTAAGACCATGAGCACCATGGTTCTTAAATAAAAATGACAGTTAAGAAAACAGGAATAGGAAAGAAATTGAAAAAAGAATTTTTTTTTTTAAATTGTAAAAAAAAAAAGATCATTGGAGGTTTTACAAGAAAATACTATTTCAGTCATTTTACTTCGAAATTATTTTTATAATTGTAATTTGTGAAATTTGCTTTGTTTCTATCGTTTCTGTATTTTAGCTGACTGCAGTAGTACTGGTTCATCGAATGCATCTATTTCCTTTTATGGATTCCACTGGCTTATAATTTATCTTTGGAGAGATAGACACATTTTGTACTACTTTCACACTGTACTAAATGCTACAAATCAGACATTACAGCAGGAGGATTTTGAATTTGTTTTATTGTTCTAGTCAACATCAGAGGCGCATCGAGGACATGGGAACAGAATCTATCTGCATGTCTCGCTTTAACCCACACAAACCACACTACAGTACTACTGTCCTGCTTGAGCTCGGTCACAGAGCCTCTTCTGTCGTGACAATTCACCATCTGATTACAGTGTGCACGTGCGATCATGGAGAAATCATGGGGAATCTTGTCCACAAAAAGATGAAAATACAAGCGACAAAACCGCAAAACAAAAAGACAGACTGTAGGTCTAAGTTCAAGTTCTCGCCTTGCATTTTAAAATGGCCAACATCTCAGCCCTATATTGATGATAATCTGCGGTAGAACGAGCTCACCAAAAAGGCTGCGCACAGAAAACGAGTGAAGCAGAAACGAGACGATTCTTCACACCAAAAGTGCGTGGTTTCTCCTCTAAAATGCTTGTAAGACTTCAGCAGAGATTCACTATGGAAATGCTTCCAGTTGTGATACATTAGACATAGAGAATTTAACAGTGAAAAGATGTTCTTATTAAAGGAAATAAACAAATCAAATGATTACAAATCAAAGAAATCAAAACAGTCTTTTTGCCCTGGCAATCATTTCCATGCACTTTACGTAAAGTTTAGTGACAGGACAGATAAGCGCTTTATTGTACAGCAGTGCGACTCAAGAGTTTCTAAGGATGGTTTTGGTTTTGCGGCCGACGCGAGAGGCTGCAGTACAGGCTACAGACTGAGAACAAGTCTGCTTTATTTCCACCATCTCTCAGAGAGAACACGGCCAGGCCGACTAGCTGCCTTACAGTATCGCACACACAAACATTCATACACTTGTGCAATCATATGCGAGTGCACACCAGGCCACAAGGGTCTGGCCACAGTACAAAAGCAAACCACTTGCTATATTAGATTAGAAACCAAAGTAAGTACGCGTCCTCACTCGCACAGACACAGTCGCTTCAGTGGGACAGATATTATAGAAGGTACAAAAAAAAAAAAACATAACACAAAAGACAGTAAATAATACAAACGCGCACACAAGCATGCTATTATGCTGCGGTTTGTTCCTGGGCTCCGTTTTCATCTAATTCCATTGCACTACCGTTCTGTTTCTTTTCCTGCTCCTTTTCTTGCTCCGCCTCCTTCTAGAAAATAAAAACACACACACACACACAAAAAAAACCCCAACAACATTAGATAGAAGACAACAGATATCTGGCGGGTAAATCTTTTGTGCAGTGACTAAGAGCTAGACACTTACTTTGGCGTCTCTCTCTGCAAACTTCTGGAACATGTTGGCGTAGAGGCGTTTGTCCTTCTCGTGTTGCTCTTTGATATGTTTCTGGCAGAGCGCGATCTGGCTCTTCGCAGCCTTATTGGCTGGATACAATTGAGTGACGCGCTGGAAGTCTGCTCTCGCCCTGTCAAACTCCTTCATGACAACCAGTGCCTCTCCTCGCCTAAACAAAGCCTTCTCGTTATTTGCGTCCAGCTCCAGTGCCTTTACACACAAAAAATACAGAAAACAAAAAGAAACCAGGAGAAATTTGGCAGAATGCAATGAAGGTCTCTTTTTAATATGACCAGCAAATTAGGATTCAAGAGTGAATATCAATGAAGAGAAACTCTAACTGCATTATTTTTTGCTTTTTAACTTGATAATGATGAAAAAATACACACAAGCATTAGAAAAAAAGTAAACTAAAATTAGAAATGTAACTAAAACAGAATATATTCAGTTTAAAAAAAGTACTTAAATGAAAAATGAACAACCACAAAAAAAAAAAAAAAAATTGGAATAAAAAGCCAAATAGAAATCTTAAAACATACTTTTGCAGCTCTTCAATATGACTGTGTAAGCATGACCATGCATAAGCATCAAAAATGTTGTTCATTTCCTACCTTGTCACAGTTCTCGAGGGCAGGGTTTGGTTCCTGCAGCTTTAGGCAGCACATAGCTAGGTTGAGATGAGCAGCCAATCGCAACGCTTTGGCTTTCTCTTCATCCTCCGGCTGCAAGTTGGACTCATGCTCCAACCAGGACACAATGCGTTTGTACTGTATAACTGCCTGCTTGTATTTCCCCTCCTGTGCACACAAAACACACTCTGATTCTTAAAACAGTGTACTATTAGATTACAATGGGATGTATGAATACACATCAGTGTGCATGACATTTCCTCTAACCTTAAAATACTGAGTTCCTTTCTCTTTGACGATGGCACTCTGTTCTAGTTTCTCAGTCGTGTTCATCTCCCAGGATTCTTTGGCCTGTGTGAGAGAACACAGCATCTTGGACTCATATCTGCTCATGACAATGACTGTGTACAGACATTACTGCCTAAATTACCACTTACAGGCTGTAATTAATCTTAAAGCATGATTGTTTTTTTTGTTTTTTTTACATTAATTAGCAAACACATTATTGTGTTATATTACATACAGAAGTTCCCTAAAATATAAACCTCAATAACATAATATCCCATATACTGGCTTTTTCCTGAGTAATGCAGGAGTGAATTCTGCTGTGCACTGCTTTTATTTAGGAGGAAACACTGACCTTCTCAAATGTTTTCAGTTTGATTTTATACTGCAACGTAGCATTAGGTGGAATGTTGAATTTGTCGCTGCCATCAGTTCCAAAGCCATACCTGAGATTGATGCACACACATAAATAAATGAACAAAAACATGGACATCAACAGATACTGAGTGCAGGTGTAGGAAACGTGTGTTTACTTTGGTTTGATGGTGAAGAGCGCCTCTTCCCCCTGCTCCATAGCCTGCAGGGCTTTCTCCACGCCTGGAGGCAGAGCCAAACTCGGTCCATCTCCCACCTCAAACTTCAGCTCACGCTCATCGAAAACACGCTCCTCGTGACGGCCCTCCAACCACACTACCCCAAAGAAATAGAACGATTAACTACTGCAAAGCGTGCACTAAGATTGAACGATTGAAGGAATAGTTCACTGGAGAAAGCAATTTTTGGGTCAACTATTTCTTTAAATTAGATTCGCTTCTGATAACATTTGCTTTACTCATTCGGTGGACCCTTGCAGACTGACATAGATGAATTGCTCTTCATTTATTGATTGTTGTAGGAATAAGAAGAGTGGTTTACCTTCCACAGATGCACTATCATTAGGCTTTGTGTAACCCTCCCCCTTAGTGATGATCCTGCGAATAATTCCACCATCTTCTTCATCTGTGATGTCCTCCCCATGAAACTCAAACAACTCCACCTGCCAGACAAACAAATGGGCACGTCAATACACAAACTCCTGACAATTTTGTAGTTATACAATTCAATATTCTGAATATCCTGTTTGCATGCATCTGGACCTCACCTGGAACACAAGTGTAGCGTTGGGTGGGATTTTGGGTGGGCTGCCAGCAGCTCCATAGGCATACTCAGGTTTGCAAATCAATTGGCAGATCTCGCCAATCTTCATCGTGGCCACACCGATGTCCCATGCTTTGATCACCTGACCTGTGAGAAAGCGAAAATAATGGTTTCAAATGGTTGACTTGCATGCTAGACAATTTTTATCTATTCTGAATTTTCTAACTGCATCATGCCCTGCAATTCCCACAATGTGCATGGTTAAGTTCAAGATGGTTTAAAGTTGGCATGAAATAGAAATGAACCGTATTTTCTAAATGTATACAGTGAACAATTTGTGCATGCATTTTTTGACCTCATAATTTTTAATCAATATGTCAATGTTCCAGTGAAATGACTGACTTCTCCAATCATTTGGTGTTCTTAAACCCCAGCCCTTCCTTACAATCAACTGCAAGCTCACATTCAGATCTGCCTCCATCCAATCAACAACCGATGCAAGAACCAAATCCTTGCCAAACCCATCTTCATAATTTTTAATCAATATGTCAATGTTCCAGTGAAATGACTGACTTCTCCAATCATTTGGTGTTCTTAAACCCCAGCCCTTCCTTACAATCAACTGCAAGCTCACATTCAGATCTGCCTCCATCCAATCAACAACCGATGCAAGAACCAAATCCTTGCCAAACCCATCTTTTTTGATTTTTTTGTTTGAGTCAAATGTACAACACAATATGAAAGACATATTTTGTAAGCCAAAGCCCATAAACGAGTTAGCATTTTAGAACATCCGGTTCCATCATCCCGAAATCAATGGGTTTTTTTTAATGGATTTTTGGTTAAATGCTTAAAATACAGTCTGTGGTTAACACAGATATTTTGACGTTTTATTATATGGCATAAAATGTATCAGTATTACCCCCTTGTGATTTTTATAAAGCTTTTACTTGTCTTAAAATTGGACTACAGAGGTTGTTGGGGACGGTCTCATCATTTTTATAATCGCGCTTTTGCAAACTATTCTAGCTCAAACTGTGATGTAGTTTGTATTAGAATGTATTTCTGTGTCAGTGTGTATTTATAGCCTATGTTTAGCTTTTTACTTCTGCCGAATGTATTTAGGGTTCAAAATTCTTAAGATCACTGTGCTTATTTTCCACAATAATCCAAAAGCCAATGTAAAAATCCAATTGGGTTTCCATTAAGGGAACCAGGGTGATGATAACTTCCAGGTTAGCCTACAAAATTACGTCATCATTAAAAATGATCTGTCACTACTTGCACTAAGTCGCTACTTTAACTTATCATAACAGGTGTTATTTCCATATAAATTACAGCGTCAACAACCTGTTTAAATGTCAGAGAGGGTAGATAAACATTCAATCCACTTCACTCTCACAACACCCACCTTTGCCCAGCTCAAAGGAGAACTTCTCTCCTCGATCACGGCTGGAGTCAAACTGCGTGCCATCAAACAGCGTTCCATCATAGTGTACGAATACTTTATCACCGGTCATAGGCAACTCAGTGCCTGTACCCTCCTTCTTGACCATCTGTAGAAGAGAGAAAGAGATTAATCGTCAATCTGTAGGCCGCTCTGCATTACACCTGTGATCTGTCAATCTTCAAAGACTGCAGACAGAAAAATGTTCATGCCTGATGCTTACATTTATGATACATTACTTAAAAACAACAAATAGGCCTATATTTAAACTGTGTGTATATAGTAAATTACTTTGAAATTGCATAGGTGTGCCTTATTGCACATTATAATTACAGCTCACTCGGATTAATATTGCTCAAATGCATTACATTGAAAGTCTTCAATTATCCCAAACAAGTAATTCCTGTCTGAATCACTTTCTATCTGAAAACACCAACCTGAAAGTTACCAGAAACTACATGATGACCTGCATGTGCATACTCTCTAAACTGCCACTCATTTAATTACATAAACGTGGCACTTGTATATACATACAAAAAGGATGACATTTTAATGTTTACTTGACATTACACGTGGTTAATCTGCACAAATAAAAATGCAACATTGCAACACACTTAAAAGTAAAGTTCACTTAAAAATAAGATTTCTGTCAACATTTATTCGCCCTCATGTTGTTCCAAACATAAAATACTTTATTTGTTTGTCTCTGGAACACAAAAAGAAATTTTAGACATAATGACAATATCAGTCACCATTCGCTTTCGTTGTATAAGACAAGATGAAAGGCAATGAAAGTGAATGGAGACCGAAGCTAAGAACCGCAAATGTTTTGCCTACCATCTCATTCTGTGTTGCACATAGAAAATTAAGTCAAATAAGTTTGGTTGGACATTCGAATAAGTAAATTATGATAAAATGGTCATTTTGGTGGGTGAACTGTCCCTTTAAGCTCAACAAGCTGGTTAGAAAGATCTAGCAATGCTGCAAAATTAGCAACAGGCTGTGTTAGCAATGTTTAAACAAATGAGATGCATTTATTCACATTTTAGTGCATACAGCTGCAGTAAAGTGAGCCAACAGAGAGAAATATTGTCTCTAACATGCATTCAGTCAGTCACACCTCCTTCATGGAGTCAATGCGGCTCATTGCACTGCAGTATTTACCTTTAAAACACCTCCATCTTTCTTCGGGGTGATGTCTTCACCCTCGATGGGGATGCTACAGCCTTCATTCACCACCTCTTCTGCAGTCATTTTTGATTTAATATAAATATTTCCTTCGAAACAGCCCAGAAAAATAGATCCACTCTCCTCACAGAGTGTCTCTCCGAGATATTTCCTTTACAGAAATCACTGGAGACTCGACGTCTGCAGGGCTAAATGGGATTAATATCGCTATTAGGAATGGATTTTGTGATCCACAGCTTGCATTTGACGGTTCGTGCTTGTTAAATGTAGTTTTTGAGTCCGCAGACGAGCTGTGCGAGGCGTTTATATAACGTTCGGCCCGCCGCTGGAAACTGACGCGACTCAGCGAACTTTCCAGAGCTGAGCGAGAGGACGGTGATGGTAGCGTCTAGAACTGACTGCAACCTTAGGCACCGTCACTAAACTCTTAACCACAGTCAAAAACGAAAAAAATGGGTAGACATGTTTTTCTAGTCAGATTACACATTTTTTTAAATCGTTATTCATGCCAAACAACGTACATGAACTTTTAACAAGAATAGAACAACAACTACAAATATATACAAGTAAACAAGACATATATAATAAAAGCAGTAACAATAAAATAAAAACCAAAAGCTAGAGAAAAGAAACATTTATATAAGGTTAAATATTGAAAGTTATTTTTGACTTTTCAAAGATTCTGTTTTTTTTTAATGGCCATCAAAAACAAAGCATAGGAATTATAATCTATACCAGACAAACTGACAGTAAAGGATTCTTATTTATCAGTGTTTAAAGAGAGCATGTATATGTAACAGGGTGCTGAATGAGTTCGGGACTACGCTTCCCATAAGTCCGTGGGGTAGCGTAATTCTGCATGTGCTATAAAGCACAGTAGAATAGCGTTCTCTCATCTCATTCATCCATTGATGTTACAAACAAGCGTGCGGTAAGATCAGGTAATTTGTGCTCAACTGTGTTTTAATAGTGATTTTTTTTGATGAATTTATTTAAATCACGAGAGCTGTTTCTGTTTAAGCAAAGACATTGATGTCAAGTTGTTTTATGCTGCACATGTTTAGAATAATTTGTGTGTTGTTAGGTAATCTTCATTTAATTAAATGTGTAATGAATTTAGGTAAATGGGTGCAGAGCCAGTGGTGGTTTTGTAGGCAAACATTAATGCCTTGAATTTAATTTATTATGAGGAAGGTAGTAAACTACATGGGGTAAAAAAGCGGTTTTATTTTGTTGTTGTGTTTCAGAACCCCGCTTGTATTACTGGTGATTGGCCCGGCAACACAGTCTTCAGAATTAATGAATGATGTGTGAGTGAATTATGTTCAGAGGTAATAAGAATCATTAAGTGTTTTCTCATGAATATTTATGAAGATGGTGGTTTTCATAAAGGTTTGTTTTATAGGTCTCTTAAAGGAGAACCATCCGGTTGGTTTTAAATTCCTCTTTCTTAGATCCAGTTATTTTAAAGGTATTTGATTGGATTAAAGAATTTATTAATGAAAATGCTCAATTCAAGGTACTTACAATAAGCTTTTGTGTTGCAGGACTAGCACGATTATTGTTATTATATTTTTATTGTGGTAATCTGGTGATCCGTATTTCCTTTCGAGTGCTGTGACTGCTGTGCTGCATTGGGGTTTGAATTTCAATTAGTGGTTGTATATTTTCACACTGATAGTTGTGCCCTGTGGTGTGTCAAATGTTTTATTCATTTTCCTTGTTTTCCTTGAATGAGGTCAGTCTTAGTGTTTTGGATATTTATTATTTTGTGAAAGTTGGTATCTGTGAACTGTAATAAAACTGCTTGTACAAGCGATAAAGCTTTCTCTACAGTTTGTGGCCAGTTATTAGCCCTCCCTGATTTGGTGGGATATATGAATCAGAATCAGAATGAGCTTTATTGCCAGGTATGTTTACACATACGAGGAATTTGTTTTAGTGACCGAAGCTCCACAGTGCGACAGAATGACCGTGACAAGACAGGACACAGATAATAAAAAGAATAATATAAAAATAGACAATGTGCAAAAACACAATATAATATAGACAATTTTGTATGTACAGGTATGATACTTGCAAATTTGAAATGTAAATAAGTATGTGTTAAATAAATGTATACTAGTGTTGTGTGTTCCACGATTATTTATATATATAAATTTTTTCCTAATTCTTCTGCTGTGCAAATACATCTTTACAATTTTACATTTTAACCAAAATTGCAGTTTGTATGCTTTTTGTTTATAGTTGGAATCTCTGTATGTCAGTACTGCCAACTTAAAAATAGCTAGGGGTGTGAATCTTCACTGGTTTCACGATTCAGTTTAATTACGATTATCATTATCAACTCAATATCATGATGCGTCACATTCTCAGTTCTCAATATTACTGCACATGGCTACATTTTCATATAAATTTTATATCAAATTTAATTTGTGCAAAATGTAATACATTTTTTATTATATAATATAAACAGACTACTTTTAAAAACTTTTTATATAAGTATCCGAAAGTTTACAGACAATAGGCTAGTTATGGGGTTTTCTTTTTTCCTCCGCATTATTGCCATTTGATTATTATCGATGAGATCATTAATCTCAGTGGCAGCTTTAACGGGCTGCATTTACACTAATGCACAGATCTATTTCGATATCAGATGTTCTGTCCTGCTCTGAAAACATAACTGACTGTATTTACATCAATTTCATATAAAAGTATTCGGAGATGCAAGTGCATTTAACCGCAGCCGCGATCG